CGAAGACAGGCGGCGGTTTTCAGCCTGCAGGGGCCAGCCTACACAACGTCATGAGTGCTCATGGTCCCGACGCGGATGCTTTCGAGGGTGCCAGCAATGCTGAGCTGAAACCTCAGAAGGTTGGCGATGGAAGCATGGCATTCATGTTCGAGAGGTATGTTGTGATAGAAGCTATATTGACCGACTCATTTGCTGACCATCTACTTAGCTGTCTCATGGTTGGTGTGTCCGAATGGGGTCTCAAGACCTGCCAGAAAGTGCAAGAAGAATACAACGAGCACAGCTGGCGTCCACTGAAGAGGCACTTCAAGAACCCTAACAAGGCCTAAATAGGAAGATGAAAAACTCACGTGCTGCTGCTATTGTGTTTGCTTGTAAAATTGACTATATACCATTTGTCTTTCTATGATTAGCCAGCGCACCTTCAGCTAGATCTAATGAAATGCTCATTTTATAGCACTATCAATAATCCTTAAACTAGATCGGATAGAAGATGCTACAAACTACCAAACAACTCTATCAATGTCACAGAACCCAAATCCGAATCATGAATTGTTGCGCCAGGATACAGATCATGGTATATTTACAAATTCATTAAAAAAAACTTAGTCGTCAAATAGACCCCTCAACCTCCTTCCTCAACGCCTCCTTGACAATTGCCCCACACATCTTCGCGTACGGATTCGTCTGCACAGCCAACTGCTGGGCAACCTTATTCCCATACCTCCCTCCAAAGAAGAAATCCCTACTTGCCATCTCCTCAAGTTGATCGGGCCCCAGATCCCGGAGCTTATCCGGCCCACCTACCATCATCATACCATCTGAATTCTTCTTCAACCTCGCAGCCTTGAGCAACAGATACCCGCGATGCGTATGCGAGTCTGCCAGGATCCGCGCCTGGACCGTCGAAACCGGATCAGCCGGCGACCTGGGCGTGCAGAGAGAGATCGCCTTCCCTAGATCGGAGAAGAGGCGCGAGGCTGGTTCAGTATTACCCGGGTCGAAGATGGCTTCATCTGGGTCTGTCGATGTCTCTACTGTCTTTTCGATGTGCATGCGGAGGGCCTGGGCTCTGTTCACGTAGGCGGATGGGTAAGTCGGGTGCTCGGTGATCAGGGCGTCGAGGTCCCTGATAGCGGAGGTGATGGTGTCGGTCGAGACCTTTTCGGATTGGAGGTTGTGGATGATGTTCAGCTCGCGGGCTTTGAGAGACTCGTGGTCGCTCGCTGAGATGTGGAGGTCTTCTGGGAACGGGGAGAGTGATGGGTCAATTGTGACGGCTGAGGATGGGGATGATTCGGCGTCGAAGAGAGCTTGCAGGACTGCAGAGTCGTTTGATGTGAGGGAAGGCCGACTGGCTTGGATTGTAGTGCCTGTAGCCATCTTGTCTGGTGTTTTGATATCGCAGCTGAAGAAATGGATGATGCGGTAGTGTCAAGGATCGCTGTTCGACGAGCACAACAATTATTCCAAGAGGTTGAGCATCAATCTAAACAAAGCTCCAGCTTCGAGTATGAGCTCATCAAGCCAATAATATAAATTATTTATCGATGTGGTTAGGATACTCCCGGCTCTTTGACGCTTTCCCATCTAATCGTCACCTCGGCCGGATATTTGTTCAAATACCCGCGTCCACCCGGGTATCTCCTCTAAATACCCGCCCGCAGCCGACTACAGCCAAAAAATGTTCGCTCCCTTTGGTTGACTGGATATTGTGAATGGATCCCGTGCCTACCGATGTCATCATGGTAGACAACGGAAGCTTCAAAGATGTTGCACACTGGAAGATATGCTTTTTATCCGTGCTCGGATGTTTGGGTAACCTTATAAGAGATATGACTCGTCCAGTCATGAGGATGGTTCAGCAAACCGAATCAAGAGTCAACAGCCTCTCCAATAGCTCTTATATTGCAGGCTAATCTCTTACTTTACAAGAGCAACATATCATCTACTACTCACTCCACTTCAACATGGCTCCCTCGGCTATCTCTACGAGCCCTCCACCAACTGACCGGGTGTCCTCAAGCCTTGCCAGCTACAGAGGCTATGACCATGTCCACTGGTACGTAGGCAACGCAAAGCAAGCTGCCTCGTACTATATCACCCGCATGGGCTTCAAGCTCATCGCCTACCGCGGCCTCGAGACAGGGTGCCGCAGCATCTGCTCCCACGTCGTCCGCAACGGCGACATCACCTTCATCCTCACTTCGCCTCTCCGGTCTCTGGATCAAATCGACCGCTTCCCACCTGAAGAGCAGGAACTGCTCAAGGAGATTCACGCTCATCTCGAGAAGCATGGTGATGCGGTCAAGGACGTTGCTTTTGAGGTCGACTCGGTGGACTCCGTCTTCTATGCCGCGATGAACAACGGTGCCAAGGTTATCTCTCACCCTCGGACCCTTGAGGATGCCGACGGTCAGGTGCGAGTAGCTACTATCCAGACTTATGGCGAGACCACGCACACTTTGCTCGAGAGGGGCTCGTACCACGGCGCGTTCCTGCCAGGATATCGCCTGGAAACCGGGGCTGAGGACCCGGTCTCTAAGCTGCTGCCTGGTGTGCACTTGAAGCGGATTGACCACTGTGTCGGAAACCAGGATTGGGATGAAATGGACAAAGTTTGCGAATAGTAAGTGACCCGCTTTAGCCATGGGTCGTCCTGGTACTGACTGTTACCAGCTACGAGAAGGCTCTCGGTTTCCATCGTTTCTGGTCTGTTGACGACAAGCAAATCTGCACGTGAGTATTATTTGTCCAACAGGACATTACCGCAGAAGACTGACGCAACTCCCAGGGAATACTCCGCTCTCAAGAGTATTGTGATGGCCTCGCCGAACGAGGTGGTGAAGATGCCCATTAACGAGCCCGCCAAGGGCAAGAAGCAGTCCCAGATCGAAGAATATGTCGACTTTTACAATGGCGCAGGCGTTCAGCACATTGCTCTTCTCACAGACGACATTATCCGAGACATTACCAACCTCAAGGCTCGCGGTGTCGAATTCATTAAGGTTCCAGACACATACTACGAAGACGTAAAGGTGCGACTGAAGAAAGCCGGGTTGACTCTCCACGAGGACTTTGAGACAATTCGCAGCCTGGACATCCTCATTGACTTTGATGAGGGCGGATATCTTCTGCAGCTGTTCACCAAGGTATGTCACTGCCAGGTTTTGAATAGGCAGCCCTAGTCAGTTACGCTAATAGAGAACAGCACTTGATGGATCGTCCCACCGTCTTCATTGAAATCATCCAGAGACACAACTTCTCCGGCTTTGGCGCCGGCAACTTCAAATCGCTCTTTGAGGCGATTGAGCGTGAACAGGCCCTCCGTGGCAACCTTGTATAGGACTTCTGGTGTTTTTCGCTCATTCGTATTTTTCCACTGATTTCTGTTGGATACCAGACATGTAGCTTTGCATTGTATATAGCGTTTGTTGATAAAATGAAGCAGGCTTTAGTTCTTTCAGGGTTGGACAAAATATGCAACAAACCTTACATTCCTTTCTTGCTGTCGTTTGTAGACCATTTCATTCAGTCCTATTCACCGCCAGATATGTCCAAGGAATCATTCACTGCTAGACTGAGAGGCTCAAAAGCATTCACCGTTAGTATATCTCTCTTCAACCTATAAGACCTACAGCCTTCCTTTCCTAGTTTCCCTCTTGAGTCTCATACAAAATCTGTTGTTGGCTCCTCCTGCTATCAGCTACCCGGAGGACAGGCATGACAGAAATAATGCTTTGCTCACCTATCTTCTTTTGAACTGAAGGTGGCATGATCAACCCATGTATGTATCTGCTCTGTCCTCTGGGGTCCTTACCATGCACTTTTCAGGGATACCGAACCGGAGGCAGCTTGAAAACGACCATATTTCGACCATGTCGGTACCGATCACTACGACACCGACCACGACGACATGGCTAGTAAGGCTAAGTACATGGACAGAGCGTTGTCCCAGCCAAGTCCAACTCCATGGGTTTACGCTGACGGGGCGGGGAAGAATTGGAAACTTGTTGAACCAATAATCCACGACACACCAGTGCCTCCTTCTTATACCAGACTTTCGGACCTTCAGATCTTCAATGTGGTGACGAGCAACATCACTCAAGCCGATAAACATAAGAACTGGCCACTTGATTTCGGTGCCAGAGCTGAGATAAAGCCAGACAGGGCACCTCAAAGCCCCACAGTACATATCGGCCGCGGCTCGAAGCTGTACTACGCCGTCTTCGCTGAATACTACGTCCTCTGTGGTTCTCCATGCAGGTCGCTAAAACAATGGCTGGCGGGCACCTGGAGCAATGGCATCTAGCGACATGAGGAGGTAGATAAGCGCGGTATCTGCAAATACACCGTGAGCGATCTATAATACCTAACAATCAAAAACAGCAATGGCCTTCGGTGGCTCCAAGTTTTCTCAAAGTTTCTCCGTGTTTGACTACGGCGACATTGAGGACGATGATGATGGTGATCAACTACTTCCAACTGAAAACGATACGTCGATACTTGCCTAGTCAGCGGATCAATCGTGAAGGAAAAATTTAGGATTCCTACACGACTTAGAACCCTTTTCTTGAGCGCCTACGATGTGCCCAAACCCAAGAAGTTCAGGCAGCAGTTGCCACCAGGACATATTGAAACATTGCTGCAACGTCCATATCCATTTCGCATCAAGGTCAGGGTGAGTTTGTATATTGTTCAAATAATGTATCAATTTGCACGGTATTATAGTCTAACGGTTTCATCCAGCTTCTCCAGAGCTGGCGTGTCCCAAATTAGCACGCAGGCTAAGCTGATTCCCGGATATAATTTCGGGGGGATCATACTTAGAACGCCAGCATGTCCGTCTACAGGTTCGACACAAATCAGGTTGTCGTCTGAAGGACTTCGATCGGGGTGTCAGGGCCCGGATGAATCGCATCGTTCCTCTTTCTCTCATAGGTATTCGACGTCACACATTCTACCTTTCCTCATGATGGAACCCCTGAGCAATACGAGATATGCCACCATCCAAAACAGGAATTCAGGATATGCCGCAGCAGAATTCGAGTATTCGCATCATCTTCAATATTCTACTGGCAAATTTCACTGGTGATCAGCCGAAACTCGTCCCGATATCACTTGCCCTGTCCATCCAAGGGTTAGTTGGCAGATCACTAGCATGCATCTTTTTTGATCGATGATCATTTCTCAGTTTCGACAAAGTCTCACACCGTCCTGGGGAGGTTGTTCGGTTTTACGGCGCTAAACCAGCGGGTGAAGATGCTTGGGAACTTCTGCTGCCTCAGAAGCCTCCGATTGAGTTCATTGACAAGCCACCGGCGATAGCATCATCCTCTTCATTCATTCGCGACCCACTGCTGATCGCATCTATAAGATCAAAAGGACCTTCCCTGTCGTCATCCGGCACTTCAGCCGTTCCAAACCCCCGAGCCGTCACCAGAAAAAGCCACATGCCTGAATTTGGTGCTCGTCTCGCTGCCGAATGGACTATCGCTCTGAACGAGAACACTCCCGGCTACCCCCTAACAACCCATTTGAAAAATCCTAGGCGGTGCCTTGGTCTCGTTTCCCAGCTGTCTAGTTATGGCAACAACAGAGGTTGTGCTATGGCAAAACATTATACTGGCGAGAACGAAAACATGTTGCTGGACAGGTCAGGGCTTCTGTTTCCAGTGGAAGGAAAGTGCATCTCAGAAACTGATGAGTATAGCAGAAGTGCGCAATCTGGATGGCAAGCCGACTATTCCCTGTGGTATGACAGTGTCAATTGCGGTACAAGCGGTTACCTTGTCAGAGTCATTGTGGAGAGAAAGACATAGACAATCAGCCAAGTATCAACAAATTTTCGGGGTCTTGATGTTATCCATGCATATAGGAACGATGTTAGTTGTTGTTCTCAGCCAAGACGGATATAAGACCTACCAAACGGAAGGATGGATTGCGTGGTGAACTCTGCCTGATAGCCCCTCTCATATGGAAGGAACGAGGATGGTAAAGAATATCACAGTGAGATAAGTTGCCGTTGGCAGTTCCTGCCCTTTTGAGGACGAAGGCAAGCCTATATGGCCGTCCACATGCCCTTCCCCCATTAGCGAGCATTTCAACGGGATACACAAGATTGGCGCGCATTCACTAACCTCTCGTTGATCTTGCGATATCACAACGGTACGCCCCTCAATCTCCTTACTACATACTCTTGATGTTGTACTGATCGACTTATCCAGATTAGCGCTTTTTTCTTCTTTCGAAGACTATGGATATACAGAAGTTTACCAAGACACAGCCATCCTACGCTCAAGACTGAGAGGGGAAATAACCGTGCACACTTGACAGTCCTCAAGACACGGAGAGAAGCACCACATGTCCATTGGCTCTTTATAAAGTCGCAGCTCCCCATTGACGGGTTCCACAAGATTTCGAGGGGTAGAACCCCCTGAAGGATAAAATGCTCTCCCGAGACAGCCAAGCACCATGACTTCACACGTTGAAAGCGGCGGTTCCCATCACGACACATTGAGTTCCACCAAAAATCTGTTGCAGAGCTTCGAACAGGCGAGACATTCATTTTGAACTCGGTAGGTATCCTCGGGACGCCAGGGCATTTCTGGCTCTGAGCCTGTTTGTCACTATGACACCAAGCAATAACCTCTCGGGGTCGTCTCTAAAGATGACCTTGCTTATAATGTTTCCAGTAACGCCGGTTAACAGCAGGTGTCTACCTGAAGAACACAAAACGAAGACGGGCTGTCAGGTCCCTCGGGCCTATTTTCTTCCAACTTCAATCTATTACGCTGAAGCTGGATCCTTGCAGTGGCTAGGTGAATAACATGTCAATCTTTCAAACATGATTGAATGATGAGTACACATGAGCTAATCGAAGCACAGTACCTACAATCCGGTTACTGGAGCATGACAACTTCCTATAGTATCAACTTTATATAGGCATGACCCACCTACGTCATGGTCCAATCTTGAAGGTTAAAGCTATGGTTTCTCCTCTGCATGCCGCCCTCAACGCGTGCATCTTCCAATCTTTCATGGAGGCGAATCACACCACCCTAACTCTTGACGAGGCCAGTGCATTATGGCAACCCCACTGTCCGTTCGCCTATCTAGAACACCTCAGTCGACAGTTCCTGTCAGGTACAAGTTCATCGCAGGATTCAGTCATATCACGGTCAAACTGAACGAGTCCACTGCAGAAACCTTCTGTCAAACAAAATCCTGGCCCTTCCCCTTCAGCCTCGGCTTATGAACAAATTCGAAGAACCTGTCCTGGCCAGAATTCGGCCCCTAAGGCCGAGATAGTGACTACAAAAGCCAGATGCGCTCTCTGTTCAACAGGATCAGGAGTTTGTGCAACCTGGGCCTTGAACCCTCCTGTTCCCGAGGGACCATTTCACTACCGGGAAGGCCATACAATCATACATACATAATTGATGCAGATCTCTCTACTTTTCTGATCCACAAACCAAACCTATCAAGCTTCGAACTTTCATGTCATCTAGAAAGGCGACCTACTTGCGGCCCGACAGTATCTCAGGCTTCAATGCCGTTGGCCGTGCTGAGATGGGGGCTCCAGGGCTGCTTTGTCGAGAACGGTCGCTAGACCCTAATTTTGGCACCTGAATCTCGATATGAGAATGGCGGATTACCAGACCAGCATCATGCGGATAGCGCGGATTCATCCACTCACTTCCCAGAGGGGAGGCCTGGGGAATCCCCAGATTCGGTGTTTGTGAGTACACCAGAGTCCAGACCCGCAGAATCAAACGATCGGTGAAATCAAGACGCCATGGACTTTCAAGCACGGCGATCATTCACATCTATAGGGATAGGGGACCATCCCTCAGCCTCGCCCTCCACGCCGCCGAGGAAGCCGTCAACGTCGCCGCCGCCCGCACCATCGCCGCCAGCCAGGCGGTTCTCAGCCACACAGGCACCATAGAGGAGTGGCGCCGGGCCTACTGGGCCGAGCTCGGACCAGATTTCGGAGATTATCTGCTCCTCGCTCGACCACAAAAAGATGCCATGACATCTGCTGCGGGATACCTCGAGCATTACAATCGCTATCTGCCATTACGCTGCCCTCCCACTCTCGATATCGCATCCCGTACAATTCGACCGATTTTCACTTACTATCACTCATGGCTCACCAACCAAGTAGACAAGACAACCAGGTCCGATTGAGCCTGAACCTGTCAGCCGAACCTACCTTTTGTGAGAAAGAACGCACTATGATACATACACCACCAACAAAGCAGCGACTGCACGCCATTCAGTTCCCAGAGCGGTTTCAAATCAAGTGCATTTTGATGCAAAGAAGTCAATTATTTGGAATCAGTGCTGTCGTCGCAGTAATGCGACTTGTATAACCGTACGTATTGCAAAGATTGACAATAACCCAGCCATGTGCTAACGTCGGGTAGACAGCCACTGCAATGCTCGAAGAATCCCACGATCCCTACTGATATCTCAGGGTCTCCAACCGCTTTGCTAACCCATCACTTTGTTGAAGTCGTCCCTAAACGCAGTATCAAGACGTACTAAGTGTCTCGAACGGACTGATCTTCGCAGACAACTTGCCGAAGATCTGGAGGCCGCTCTGGACGGGGCAGCAGCAAGAAGAGTTACGTGATCTAGAAGAGTTTACGACAGCGGCAAGCACGCGTCCACCAAGGACAGAAGCTCGGAAAAGACCCCAATTAGCCAGTGGCCTGCTCTATCGGAATGGCTAGCACACCAATACCTTTCTAGGAAAGGGGAAAGGTATCTCGAGGACAGAGCTCATTCAGCCGAAAACGATTTACCTTTGTGTGGCGCACCAACGAGTCAAGAAAACCCCAGAAGATTTCTGAAGAGCACTTTGAAAGGACCGACTTCAGCGACCATGAGATCGGAGTCATACACTCTAAGATGAACGACACAGTTGAACAAGAAAGGTGTGTGAAGGATACTCATTCGCCTACTCTTCCATATTAGATTTAGTGCGACCTCGCCTGCACCGTACACCTCTCTTTCGTCTCATCTCTCTCAGATAGTTCTCTTAGACAGCATCATTATCGTACATTACGATCATATTCTCTCTCTCTCGTTCTCACAAGGTGGAATAGTTTTCCACGGAAGAAGGAGTGGGCAAAAGAGAACAATCCCAACCAAGATCAAGAGGTGAAGTGCAAGATATAGATCGTCGGCTGTGCCCGAAACTCGAAAAGGAATATCATTTCCCTGCGTGAGGCGCAGAGGTGTGGAAGAGTTCGAAGGCATAGGCCTGAGGGCAGCGAAGCAAGAGTGGAGGCGGGGGGAGGGCAACATTATGTTGCGACTGGGGCGTGCGGTGCGGACCTTCGTCCAGGCAGTCGCCAGGCTCGAAGCGGCCCGGGAGGGGATGAGAGACCTAGAGGGGGCGGCGGGAGCCTAGGGCAGAGGCAAGGTGAGGAGGAGAGGTAGACGGGGTTAGGAGAGGAAGAGGAGGGGGGTCGGGCCAGTCCACCGGTGCCGTTAATGGCTTCAGCGCTACAACACCCGCACGGCAACAGAACGCCTCTGTGTCCCAAAGGAGTTCAATAAGCAAGTATTCAAACAGGTGCGCGATGACACAGGACATGCAGGATTCAACAAGGCGTATGCCATGCTTACTGCGAGTGATTTGCGAGATTACATTCGCAAATGCCCGACGTGTGGAGCATGCAAAATAGCAAAACACAAGCCGTTCGGACAACTCCAGATAGATGAACACCCAACAGAAGTTCTGCAGGTGCTATGTATTGACATGGAAGGATTCTGGCAGTTTCGTTTTTTAGCCCAACGAGTAGGATGGCCCGAACCCGCTGTATAGGGGCCAATAATAATTGAGCAGGAGCCTACTCGCTTTGAGGCATGTCCAATCGGGCATTTCGAGTTATTTTTTCTGTATAGGACTGAGCTAACCCAGCTGAAGGCACCTCTAATCTCCCAACCAGTAAAGTCCCAACCATATGCAGGAAAGCTGATTTGCATTGTACATTGTCGAATGGACTAGTCATCATCCAACGGCTGATTTAATACACGTTGCTCATCATTCATCTCGGCGGGATGCTACTATAACATGTTGATGCAAGTCTATATGCTGAATGAAACCGATCTCCTCAGTGCGTTACACCCATAATGCTGTACAAGGCGGCAGGCAGATGATGACATTTGACTGCCGAAATCATCACTTCTTCGAGGAACTCGAAGCACCTGGTTTTGTCCCTCCCAGGCGTTTATACTTTCGTGGATCTGAAGCTCGTCAGCGTAGGAAGAAATCACCAATAAACAGGAAGCATACCCTTTCGACTCATCAGAACCTTGTTCCTTGTACCCTTTCCTCCTTCCCAGAACCCACTTCCTGCCTTTCCAACGAGGACTGCACGGCATATACCGCAGTTCTCGGGCCGGTAGACTTGTTCTCTTGAGCAGAAACCACTAGGAGACGTAAGAAGGTGTTAAGCTCCAAAGACCATGCGGCATGTACTTACCATATCATGCGGTTTGCATGTTCGTTCGGATGATCTGTAGCTGCGTCATGGCACCTAAACAAGTTAGTCGAGTATCACCATGAGGACAATGACTTGTAGCAAATGGCCATGGCAGACTCGAGCAGCTATCTCTGGGAAGGGCTGACATACTTGTCACATGGGAAAACCTTTGCGCAACAGCTGAACCTGTTGAAAGAGTAAGTGAATGTGAAGACAGCTGAAAACTTGCGAGGGACGGTAATACCTGAACCATCGATAGCTTTTACCGTAGTGCATACACCGGCCTCGACGAGGTAGCTCCTGACCAGCGACAATGCCAAGAGTCTCTTTTGGCTAAAGAATTTCTAGGTAAGACTTGTGACTCCGGCGGCCAGATATCTTGCACATACCTTCTTCCGCTGTGGAACACGATCACGAGAGGTGACTAGAACCGGTTGTCAACACATGCTTGCCGAGGACAATTGCTGTCACAACTCACATGCAGCAGATCCTACGATCAAGAATTTGACCTCGGGGATTTTGAAGACTGATGTCCAATAGTTAGTTAAGACTCAGGGTTTAACTCTTTGTGCTTACCCATTTTACGATGGCACTGACGGCAGGAAGCCGATGCACTCTCGCCGCGAACTGCAACGACGCCAGGTCCGGGAAATGTGGTCGAGCATTCTGCGCAGGTCGGGATAAAGCTACTACAAGGATGTGAGAGCCGTTCGCTCGAAGTTCGCGGACACTTAGAGGCCCCTACCTGGGAAGAAGGTCGACAACGGTACAGCCGTCCAAATCCAGATATCCCGCGCGGGTAGAGTTCGCATGCATCAACTGTCTTCGAAAACCTGGCAAGAGCGTAGGTTAATATGGAAGTGATTGTAAAGCTTTGGAATGAGATATTCTTACCAAGACTCATTGTGTTTGTACACTTCTTGCACGTCTCGACTTTCGGAGTCAATACATCGCTTTTATCCTTGGTCTGCGGAATATTTTTCACGTCCATGTGCTCTTTGCATCGATCGCACTTGATTGTAATGTAGAGACCAACGAGCTCCAGGAGCTCAATGCCATACAGCTCCAGGTATGGGAAGGAAAGGGCCACACCACGTTCGGTCGTCTGCGCGGGCATGTCAGGAACAGGAGCGCCGCCGTCCTCCTCGTCCCCATCCTCTTCTGTGGAGTCGTCTTCTGATGTCAAGAATTCTGAGACCTCGCTGCCCTCATCACTATCTCCTGCACTCCATTCTGGAGGACGTGGAATGAGGCGAATGTGGGGTTTGTCCTCTACTTCAAACATCGGATTATTTGAGCCAGACGGTGCGGATTCCTCCGGCAGATCCACGGAGTGCGTGGCCGGTTCTTGCTTCAGTTCCGATACAGATTCCAAGGCGGTCGTCGCAAGAGTGTGCATATTGCTTGTCAAGTAGTTGATTTGGGACATCAGGTTAAGCTGAGCGTTTTCTTTCACCCACTGCGAAAAGCCAACTTCGACAGACTGGGCTTCGGGAGATCTTACACCCTGAAGCTCAATTGAACTGGGTTCGAGAGGGTACAGACGAGGCACCAGCAACTTCACCGTCTTGATTGGTCGAAGTGAAATAGGTAGGCGTTCCACTTTGGGGGGCTGGACAGGAATAACGAAGGACAATTCATCTCGAGACTTCTGAAATAGGGGCATTCTACCGAGGCGAGCCTCGATTTGTTTTGTTTCGACTGCCCTTCTTCGTTCCGCCTGGGCTTTTTGTTCTGCGGTGTGAATTTTGGACGCATTCGTGACGGACGCCATTGGCTTTGGAACCGGTTTTCGTTCTGTTGCAGTTGTATCAGTGTGCGATACATGTACCTGCTCTGGCGCTCGCCGCTCCTGTACTTCCTTGCTGCCAACATTGGGAATAAATTTGAGCGTGGGCCCTCTTTCAGTGGTTGTAAGCAACCGCTCCAGATGCCGGTCGAGACTGTTCATCCAATTCAACAGAGTTCCTCGGCCACCGGTCCTCAGCGTACTGTCGACAATATCATCGAATCCTCGCTCAACATTGGCTTGGAAAGCTCGTTCCATATCCGAATTAATGACTTTTAAAGTGGGTCTTCCTTGTCCGGGATAGGACAGCGGCACATGCAGAATGCATTGCAGCTTATCCAATTCAAATGGAAAATCGGGGTCAGAAGGGGTCATTTCAATCGTTAAGGATGTTCCTGATCCATTCGTGGTTTCCTTTGGATGAAACCTTCGTCTCATCTGATTGATCTGAAATTCCCGAGGGTTCGAGCTTTCTAAGGCCGAAACTGGCCTTTGGCCTGCGTGGGAGGTTGACTTGGCTCCTGCTTGAGGAACAACCTTGGTGTCCTTTGTGTCATTGATGGAAAGACTTCTAACATCGGTAGCTACACCTTGTAAAGGACCCTGGGAATTTCCAACCCCATTGGCTGAGCCGGCCTGCACTTGCGCCCCAGGCTGTGCACTCTTCCGTTGAGAATCGGCTAAATCATGGACATACGGACAAGCATCACCGGCGCGACATCCTTGACGCAAGTTAGAACAGAAGGTAAATGAACGACAATGAAGGCGAGGTTTCAGCTGGTAAAGACTTCAAGGGGTAAAGACGGTACAATACAGAACCTCGAAGTATCCGATCTTCAATCGCACAAGCGACTGGTCTCCAAACAGCTAATACGCGAGCCAATAGTTCCAAGTACAGCTGCCAGGAGGAAGACAGCCAAGCTCGAAGATAGCGAATAGTCACACGCAAACGAAGGCAGCAGGAAAAAGCACAACAATGTGACAGGCACAAAGACTTACCCTTTTGGGAAGTGAAGAAGCGGCATTTAGCCCTCCGCTTTGGGGTTGACCGATTGGTAGCATCTGACCGGCTGGACACTGTAGAACCTTGAGGCTGAGCAGCCGCCAACTCAGCACCAGTGGCCAGTGGTTGACCTATGTCAAAATAAGGGTATCATGGTGAGCGCGTGATCAAAAAGGTTGCGGGCCGCTGGGTCCGATTCAGAGGAGGGAAAGGGGCCAAGCAGCGCCTTCAGCGCGTACTGGTTTAAAGAAAACAAACTGTCAGGATATGCATGAGAACAGATGTGGAACATGCGTAGATCGACAGAGACCTAGGCCTGCTGGGCTTGAAGAGAAAGAAAAAGCAAATCCTGCTGCGGGACCATTGAGTCCATGATAGGAGAGAGTCTTGCAGTCTGAAGCGCAGCCCTACTGTACTCTGTACAGGATATGAAAACAAAGAGTCTTACCATTGGTAGAAAACCCAGGCCTGTTCAAGCCATCAGGCGCTCCAAGACCGCTGGTGGAGTCCATCCTACCGATATAGTGTCAGTACAGCACAAGGCAGTCTTCAATCAGATCACGCGGGAAGCGATAAACATTTACCACAGAGTTCAGCACAAAAGCTAAGCGATGATAATAAGATACCTTCGTGCAAAGGACTGTGATGACTTGTCAGTCAGTCAATCCTAGGACTCTTGGGACACGGGCGGAAGTACTGTGATCAACCTGCCAACGCAGAGATCCGGTGACCGCGAGATCGACGGTGGCTAAGAGATGTATAGAAGGGCAAACGATGCAAGAGGTTAGAATGCAGCAGTAGTTACGTGAGAAAATGTCGAAGCCAAAACAGTAGAGATCAAGCGATGAATGACGACACTCGTAATCTTATCACGAACATATTATTGCTAATAGAAATCGCGATATACCTGGTCGTCGTCGTAGTAGTATCAACAACCGTGATGATTGCTGACTGATGATCGTTTCCAATCAAGGGCGGTCAGGCGACACGTGATGTAAGATGGATTCTCTTCGAATCTTGCAAAGACAACACACAAAAGATCTTGATTCAAATCATCCATGTGGTTCAGGTCTGATAATAAGAAGCATTAAATCTCTCCAAGAGTGTCATCTGCCTTCACGCTTCTCCGTGTTAATCTAAAGATACAATGCGGCGCAAACGAACAGTGATTGATGACCTCATATTCCGAAGATGTGGGGAAGTATGAGTCTGGGGATGACTGACAACTGACAAGACTCATCTTGACTATTCTTGAGTCACTAGGAGGAACCACCCAACGCAGACACGCAACCCGCAATCCCGGATGTCTGTAGTCAGACTTTTCGCAAGACTTTGGTCTCTTTTGGGGTCAATGTAGTCAATCTGCTTACTCGGCATGCCCTTGATCTTACCTTGCCTCTGAACATGAACCAAGATTAGCTGCAGACCAGCGTCTTGGAGGCCGTGATCTACGAAAGATGACTGCTTGATTGCTATAGCTTGGTGGTGACTCTAGCTCCTGAAGTCAATCAAAATATGAATCGAAAGCACCGAGTCAATTGCCATGTAATCCATGCTCAACAACCAGTTTCAAAATAGCCAAGTTCATCAATCCTCCATATCTCGACGGCCGGATCTTTTTACCGTGGGGATGACGCCCGCCAACTGTTATTTTGTGGCGGGATGATATTTCTTACCATTCATGAGCAAGCTCTGCGTTGATGAAGTCGCACTGTGGCAGATGATACCAATATCATCATTACGTATCATCAGGAGCCACCTCTGACCTTTCCATGCACATCAGCATCGATTGCATGCAGTCGGCAGCTCCGACTCGCATATGCATTGTAGTCTGGCCTGTCCATGCAATGTGTTAATATCATACAAAGCTTGTAGGTCGACACTGAGAAGGACCTCTTATAGTTATGATGCTGCTTTGATCATATCTAGGGAAGAATCGACACCTGGGGGTGATGGTGGTAAATGTAATAAACTTGTACCAGTGTATGTATCTGTATGTTTGAATACAAAACAGAACCTGACGACGTTACCATACATCAAACGCACCGGGATCTTCCCACCGGATTTGGAGATCTAGATCAAAAGCAATAAATGGAGTATTCCCGATCTATCTTGACTTGACAGTTGATACCTTCCCTCAAGCTGGCATCTCTCATGATGTTCATACATAATAATTATCTACTGTCCGACCTTGATAATCAATAAGCGAACGCCATCAATATATTTTGACTCGGAATTTAGCGTCGCGCATCCCGTCAAAAGTTCACTAAGGAATTGTCCCAACTTCCCCGCCAAATCAGAAGCCATCTAGACCCCTCCCCGCGCGCCTCCAAAATACGCTCCAAGCTGAACTTTTCCCCTGCGGAAGATGAAAACATCGGAATGCAACCTGGGTCCACTAGACGAAAATAATCAGGAGCGCTCCCGAATCCGGTAAGGCGCTAGTACCCCGTCCCAGTTACCCTTCAAGTCACCAGACCTGAAAATTTTTTGCGGTACAACTACAAGCCCTGTAACCTTTACCTACGGATGTTGAGGATAAGATCAGAATTTCACGTACAACAATAATAATGAGGTCAACATTCGCATGAAGGCATGATTACCCTTTCAACTCATTCGGCAATACAACTCGTTGGAGGAATTGAGGGACTGAGTTTTTCCGGTATTAATCCGTCCACGGCACTGACATCAAATAATTGTCAAGGTCTCGACTCTTCCAGTTGAGCCTTTTAATTATGGACTGCGGAGGACAGGACGGAGGACGGAGAACGGAGCAGTCCTCTAAAAGTTACTGAAACCTTCCGGCTATCCACCCACATTCAGCCCTGCTCACCAATCACGATAACTGTAATAAAGGAACCCACCATTCTTGGCGAATCAGCGCCGGAGGGGTACGTATCTCTCAGCACCCGAACATGTTTGACTTGGATTTTGAATGGTGAGGTGGTCAAGAGTAAATATCTGTTGCTCGTATCGGTAGTGTTCAATAAAGCCTTCTATTATCGTTCCACAGACTCTAGTCGAACTCTACCTGCAATGCCTTGGAAGTTAGCTCCAGCGGTGAGGAGGAGAGTACTCCGACGCATGTACTCGGAACTACCCCTCGAATTTAAAGTGTACTGTCTTCCCCGCTCTGTGAGAGTCATGGTAGTACAAAGTACGGAGTACCTCAAGGTCAAATGAAGTTGTACCCAACAAGGTTCAAGACAAACTGAACCCACGGCTTGTCACTTGAACAGTTCAAACCGACAACGGGACGGTCAAGAAGAACCTCCATCTTTTCCGACTACTTTTTGGGCATCAATTCCGTATCCTCAGTATTCGAAAGATGCTCGGGCATTGATTTGCCCACCGGCCATAGATCGGCTGGATACGTATTGAAGCTGAGCGGAGCCTGTTTTCAAATCATGCGTAATGTAACGGTATCATACCAATTGTTACCTTCCAAATTCTCCGAGAATGTTGCACAGTAATCCAATCCGCCAATCATGAAATTTCAGAAAACTTTCCCCTTCTTCTAGAAGGTTTCTCGAAGCATGGTCCAAAAACTGCTATTTCCTTTGTGAAACCATGGGCTGCTGGTTGGCTCATATCCATATCATAGTTCTGCGGCGATTCTTCTACAATACAGTTTCTGCAATAATGAACAGCTTGGACTTACGTGCTGATATCGCTGGGTTGATTTATTTAGCAGGATGGCCCAAGCTGGCATATTAGACAAATACCGGGGTTGCAGTTTATGCCATTTTAGGTACCTAGCTTGACTAAGGTAGTATGCTCTAAGGACATGTAACGTCCGTCATCGCTCATCTAGAACTAGTGGCCACTACGTCCCTGCTTAAGGAGATGTTTTCTTGTAGTATTTCAGCAAAACCGACAATTCATTCATGCAGAGACGATACGATACCTTTTGGAGTACTCCGTATGGAGTAGTTGAACTCGAATGGATGGCCGCCCGACCGGTGGGCGCCCAAAACTCGGCATGATCCCGAGATATCGGGATGAGTAAAACAACGGTCCCGGGCGGCCAAGACACGGTCCTGCGAGGAGAATTCGCCGCTCGACAAACTCGATTCGTAAGGCAGGATTGGCCCGAGTTCAGGCATTGAAAGAGCTTAAGCATTAATAGGTCCATTCGAGTAAAGAAATTTTCTTCCTTAAAATGCGCCAATCTAAGAGTGGCAATTCGAGGTTTCGAGGTCTAGAGGCTTCTTAGTCCTGAGCGTGACTGAGTCGATCAACCATCTCGAACTCGTCAGGCGCAGAACTAAAATTTCACGCGCTTGCCATTCTACTTGTGCGTTGACACTATCTAGATTTCTTATATTTTTCTTTTTGTTGAGGCGCAGGAATGTCCGCATCCTTGAAACATCTCGGATTCACCCCAGCCTTTGTGATACAATGGCTAAGGACAAGGTATCGTATCCTCCAGAAAACTGTCCCACCTTCAAAATAAAGTATGCCTATTGTTGTATGGAATCAATATCTCACACAAAACTTGTTTTGAAGACTGAGAATAAACATGGAGTCGGTAATACTTCGGCGGAATCAAACTCTACGCCATCAGGTACAACTTTCGGCTTGCCGAGCGCAGAATCGGGCATGCCGAACGAATAGCCAGCAATAAACGCAAGCTGATTTCTTGCTGTCAGAATCAAGGCCGGCGCAGATTGCTCCGTACCTGAATCAATGCGTCGTGGAGCTGAGCCCTGATACGCAGGATCCTTTCAAGTTCCACACCTGTCTGCCCTGATTCGATGCAAGCAACGTCGAGTCGGGAAGCACCGAGATATCAAAGCTGTATAGCGCGTCTCCGTAGACTGTACAGTCTTCTGTCATCTATATACACTGTCATTGTATAACAAATCAGTACCGGTGAAGCCACGCAGCTTTCTCTACAAATCACCTCACTGCCCGTTCGAGCGTCGATCCACATCCGACCCACCGCGCAGACAAAAAGCGTAAAGCAAGCGACACAAGAAACTGACTGCTCTCCTGCTCTAAACTTTTTCTGGAAGGCTGCGACTCTGCAGGCGTCTGCCTATTCGAGTGTTCAGTGCCCAGTCACAGTTGACACTTGACAGTCCACTATTACAGTAGAAACCTGGAGGTTGGACCTGGACCTGGGCCTGACAAGACCTCAGGATCAGCGAGATCTTAGTTCCACACGCGTCCCAAGGCACCAGCCACAGACGTCGCGTTGCGAGCTCCGCGTTTCCGGGCGCAGTCGGATGTCCGCCTCAAAATTTCTCTGCAATGGAAGTCTGGGACACCCCACGAGAGAATCGGGAAGATTAGGAGCTGAAGCTTTAGTGGTCCACCGTCCACCTCTGCTGTCCAGAACCCAACGGTCAAGTCTACGCGGAGTGAGTTGCCCTTTTAAGAAAACCAGAATAGTTAGTGTGGGATGTGAATCTCTCCGACAGTGTGTTGAATTTTGCAGGTTTGCATCTGCTTGCCTTGCAGCCTTGTGGCCTTGTAGCCTTGTAGCCTTGTAGCCTTGCAGCCTCGA